AAAAATCATCATGAATACAAAACTGCGAATTTTTAACCATTTACATCTAGTATAGTTTCAAAACCCTAAAAAAATTTAACTGGGTATTGTAGCTGGACTTTTCGTTAGGTAATAGACATTGAAGTTGGGTTATGGTTCAGTTGCGTGTTTTAAAATAAACAGTGGGAAGTGGTTTATTTAGTTTTTCCGGATGTTTCCCCTATAGTAAGAGATGGGAAATACTAAACTTTTTTGTGTTAAGCAGCTTTATGGCGCTGCTATCTATGCGTGAATGAACAAATTGAGGTGTTCAGGACACTGGAAACTATTAATTTGTTGAAGGGAATGGGGGAAATATTGTGGTATCAACTCTGGAACTCGAACCCCCGTTCTGTAGATCATGAGATTGACGAATTTGCCCGCTCGGCTATAACATGCACCCAGTTGCATGGAACTAAGTGGCTTCATTACGTGGGTCTATTTTGGTTGTTTAACCGCATTAGATGAAAGCAGTTAATAAACGATTTTTCTCGCTGTTACAGTTTGAATACCATCTTATTCATGGTTATTTGAATGTTTTGTTTGAATATGGTAAAATAACAATTAAAAAGATTGTTATGTAACCATCTTTTCAAAGAAATTTCTAACAGTGCTTTGAGCATTTTTCTCCTTAGTGTTCTAATTTCTTGTCAAAGGAGAGGCTGTATAACATTTAAAATTACTCGTAGTTATCAAACATTTTTAGGTTCCTTCTTTTTCTCCCCATAGTTCTGAATGTTTGCCCCTTAGTACCTTCATCTACAAGATTTGCGAAAATGAAGACGGCGGGGAAAATATGACCTTTACGAATTTTTTATAGTTAAATAAGACTATAATAATATTTTCCCTAGAAATCTCAATTTTTTCAAATTTTTTTTTGTAAGAATCATTTAGATCTTTTTTCCATTTATCCATAAAGCTCTTAAAATTAGTGCATCATTTTCTAGCATACTTTTATAGTTATAAAACTATTACTTTTTTTCTTTAATTGTACGCTTTTTAAAAAAATTAGTTTAACTTTGAACATGTTTCAACATTACGATTGTACGATGCTTCAACATTAATAAAGTTATTAAGTTGGCAATATTTGGGATCAAGTTACACGACAATGTCGTACAAACATATTTAAAGAGGAATAATTTTGCACTTTAATAGGACTCAACATGGCATTTTAATGAACAATTGCAGCCGAATTAAATTTTTACAAACTTATCATATCGGACGGGATTAACTTTTGTTCGAACACAATAATGCAGGATAATGAAAAATATACCTTTATTACACGGAGAAAAAAATTCTGATTAAATTAAGTACTTTATGGTAATAATATTTACGGTAAAAAATCATAATTTAGGTAATAAAAACTAAAATACATGGTATTTAAATCATTTATCTGGTAATTTTACCACCGTTCATATGGTATAGGTTCTTTTAGTACCCAAAATTATACTTCTTATTACTACACATTAAAAAAAAAAAGCTAAAAGAAAACAAAACTGAAAAAATACATTTAGCTGAATAAATGATTTTTATGCCATGCTCTAGGGTTTCATGATAAAATTACAAAATTTGAAAAGTACTTAATTTTATCACATATGATAGTAAAAGTGGCAGTAAGCTATATTTTACTGTTACTTTTACCAAAATCACTACCAAAGCGCTTTTGTATAAGCTACCGATCCTATTGATGTTTGTATAAAACAAGAAACACGTAAATTTTATAATATTTTGAGTAGTTTTGACCATACTTTTTTTCACAGTGAAAAAAGAAAAAAACTATTATATTACATTTAAGCGCAATTTGTGAAACATTAATTTTAGTTTTATATATCTCTCAACTCTATCGATTTAAGTGTGCAGTAATTTTCAATACTATAAGATAAGTATGGTTCTTTGCTCTGGTTGCAAAAAATTGACAAAGGGTTAAAGTTTCAGCACTGTATTCAACATTCTACAATATTTTTCATATGGAATATTAAGTTATAACAGTAACATTAAACAGTTTTAATATATTACTGATAACTCCAAGATAAAATACGCTATCTTCTTAAAATATTTGAAACGTTTTTTTTTAAGTTTTTGAATAAACTTTTTATGTGCGTTTTTTTAGCACAAAATTCAAGTTTTCCGTTGAGTAGTAAAAACGCTTTTATTTTCGTCCATTTTAAAAGAAAGGTTTGTGAGAGTTACGGATTCATTTTGCAATCAAGATTTGTTGCCAGCACTGAGATGTGAAAAAAACACATCACGGATTGTCATGTCTCGTGCCAAAATCAAGCCTCTGTTCCAGGAATACTTAAACAACCGGATGTTTCAATGGAAATTCAAAGTTAAAAGAGGTTTTAATTTTGGCCCTTCCTGTTTTTATGTAATTTTTAAAAACCTGATTTGCCATGTTATTAGCATCAAAAGCTTATTTTAAGGCAGGTTTTCTTGTTTTGAAATGAACCAAGAAATCTCTCACTTTTGTTCTAAAAGATGAATTTACGGTATCTGCACTTTTTTTTCTCAAAACGAAACTAAGTGTAGATAAGTATTGGCAAAATGAACGCGTTTAAAATCCATTTTTCTCTTAAAGTTTAAACTTCAGTCTTCATTGGCGGAAATTTTTAGCACAGTGAGCCAAAAAAAATATTTACACTTTAAATAACTTTTCGAATGATTGCTTTTTCGCATACTAAATGCCAATCTTAATGGTTTGTGGGCAAACCCCAAATATGCTAATTGATTAGTGCATATATTATCAGCTCTGAATTCAGTCTCTTTAATGTGCTTTTTTTTTTGCAAAAGCAAACTTTTTTGTCCGAAAGATTTGGATTCTTGACCATCAAAGTGATGCAACCGTTATTTCTAAGATAGGGTTCCAATTGTTTAGCCAAGAAAGTGGTCAAAAGTTTGGTTCCCTTAAGGTTATTTGCAGTTTTTGCACATTTCACAATATTTCGGGAATTTTTCAAGCAAAGTAAAAACCTTTATTTAGCGCACAATTAGGAAACTCATTTAATAAAAGATTTTTTAATACAAAACTAATTTTTAATCTTCATTTTATATTTTTTATTTGTTTAATTATTAATTGTCAGAAAAAGTTTGAATTTTAAGATAATTTTCACATCATTTTAATTCACAAAATGCGAAATTTGAGTTAAATCTGCCGGATAGTTTCTGAGTTATAAAATTTCGAAAAAGGCGCACTTTAAAATGTCATTTCTTAAGAACTATTTTTCACATATTACATTGTAGTATTTTATAATGATATCAAAATTTGATGCCTACGTACAGCATATTTTAAGCAGAGTAATTCGCGTCATTTATAAATTCTTTGCCAGAATATCTATAACATGTGTCTGTTTGAAATGAAAACATTATTATTGGGTCCATATCTTCGAGATTGTTCTTTTCCACTTTTCTTTGGGGCTTGAAAATAAAAATCTATTGAAAAATATGTTTATTGTGTACTGTAATTAGGTACTGTATCTTCTTAAATAAAAACCAGATCATTACACCAAGTAACTAGGGATTTTTATTTTGCGTATTTTAGATATTTATATTTAGTATTTAAATTATTCTAACCGCTGTGAGTTTTCAGATTGCCTTTAATAGATTAAAAGCAATCTGAAAAATTTATCATTTAAAACTTAACAGTAAAAAAAACTTAATTATTAAGGCTATCGTTTTTGTTTTGCCTAAATTAAATCTAACTTCTTCAAAAAATAATATCAATGTTAAATAAATAATCCCAAGAAACTGAAGCTGTAAGATATAACCTGATTGAAAATTTCCTACGCTTCACAAATGTGCAAAAATGAAATGACGTTCGTCATGTATCAAGTGCATCAAAAATAGGAGCCCATTTTCAAGACTTGACAGACGTGAATGTAAGGAAACAAAAAAGATTTGAAAAAACGTAAGTTGCCTACGAAAAATGAAAAAAGAAATAAAAGTGAGAAACGAAACTAGAAAAACCACAGAAGCCGAGTTAAGAAAAAAGGTAACAAAAAAAAAATATCTATATATATATAAATAACACTGTGGCCGAGAGTCAAATCAAGGTAAAATACATCTCTGTTATGGCAAGGTAGGGAGGAACTAATTTTGTTGACAAGGGAATCAGCATTCAGATGAATTAAACAAGATTCCAGGGTATCAAGATGAACTGACAGGGATGGGAAATAATTTAAGCCTTGCCGAAATTAAATTTATGCCCAAGATTCCAAAAATGTTAAGCAAATGAAGATTTCTCGAATTCTTGATAACGGACATATCTATCGGTTTCCTTAAATCTGAACTTTAAAGTGCGTTTAGTTTGCTCGATGTAGCCAAGATCACACTGACAAGGAAAATGGTAAATTAGAACAAATTGGAGTAACTTGTTTGAATTGCTACACATTGTTGGATCAAATTATTTGGGCGGATCAAATTATTTGAGCATAAATTCAATTTCGATAACGCTGAAATTTTTTCCACCCCTGTCACATCAGCTCACCTTGATACCCTGGAATCTTGTTTTATTTATTTAAATGCTGATTCCCTTGTTAACGACATTAGTTTTTAAGCAGTTCTTTATAACGAGCGGAGATGCATTTTACACTGATTTGCCTCTGGGCAACTGAGTTTTTTCTTGTTCTGTTTTACATCTTGTTATTTCACCTTCTGTGGTTTTTCTAATTTTGTTTCTGATCTTTATTTTTTCATTTTTCGTTGGCAACTTACGTTTTTTCAAATCATTTTTGTTTCGTTACATTCACGTCTAGCAAGTCTTGAAAATGGGTGCCTATTTTTGATGCGCTTGAAACATGTCGAATGTCATTTCCTTTTTGCACATTTTTGAAGAGAATTAATTTTTTCAATAAGGTAATACCAATGTTATTTTGTGCTATACTGCTTCCCTTTTTATTCTTAAATTAAAATTTAGTGTTGTCTTTGATTTTCGAAACAGTGTCTTACTAGAAATGTTTTTAAAGCATTATTGACATCTTTTTTAGATTTCTGGAAATTCGATATTCAGTGCCAAGTTTGAGGCGACTGCATGTCATTTGACTATTATCCTGATCACAAGAGATGTTTAATTCGTAATCAGGTAATGATTGTTTCATTTTTTATTATTTATCTCTCTATATGAAAAAAACGCAAGGGATTCTGACGCTGTTTTGGGTGTTCAACTTAAAGTTACATTTTATTTTACTGCGCAAAAACTGTAAAACTTAAAATTATTGAGGTGTGTAAAAATGTGTACGGAGATTTCGATGGAATAAAAAAAATTAACATCCAATGATAAATAGTTTGAGAATTATTAACTGTATAATTTGCTGAAGAAAAATACCATACTGACCGATCTACAGGTAGAAAGTGTATGCAATTGCAAAGTTGAAAGTCCATATATTGAAAGAGGAATTGTTTATGAACTTAATACAGAGTTTTTTCTAATTATCTATTTGTTCGAAAGTTATTGCGACTTTAATTGCTTTTTTTGAGAATTTATTCTCACTTTTTTTTTGCTTTACGTTACATTTTGCTTTTCTGCTCAAAATACATCAAACCTAGAAACTTGAAATTACGAAGATGTGTTGAAAAGAATATAATGAGTAGGATGAAATAAAACGACGACTGTCCGCTGAAATGCAACTACGAAGTTGAAATTTGACGTGCTGATAGGACAATTTTTTATTTTATTTTTAATATGAAATTCCTTCGAAATGTCTATTTGTTCGAAAGTTTTTTTGAAATTTAAGTGCTTTTTCGTGATTTTTTTCAGATTTTTTGCTTAAAATATTGACTTTATTTATTTATTGTTGTAGAAAATTTATTTTTCCCTAATTATTTATTTATTTTATAAGCTCGTGCTCGAGTAGATGTCAAACAAAAGTAGCAAGAGAGAGACAGGCTTACATGCTGCCAGAGTTAAATCTTAACATTCATAGTGAAATTTTTATAAATAAAAAAGGAATTCGAAAAAACAGCGTTAAAAACTGTTCCATTTTTAAATAGCAATAATTCTTTTAAACGAGCAAAATTGTTTCGCCTCCATTTTTTCTTATTGAGTCCTTCAATTAATATTTTTTTTCAAGTGCAGAGGACTATTTTCCAAATCTAGGTAATCGTCGATTTTTGTTACGATTAAAACATAAACAAAACGTTCTTACATAAAGCTACAATAATTGCCTATTTTGAAATTAAAATGTTTAGCATTTTCGGGGGAAATATTAATGTTTAAAAAGAACTAAATAATGATGAATGAGAAGCAAATACGGGGATTGACGAACGGAGCGAGCAGGGGATGGATTTTCCTAGTACTGAAAGAAAACTTTCATTGGATTTACACCTTGTCGTCGTCGCTTTTCAGTATACTGTTTTTTTATTAAATTTTCTTTCTTTCTTTATTTTTTTTCTTCCTCTCTTTGGTAATTTTGAGCATTACATAAGGTGTTTTTAGCTGTGTTTTTCTTGGAAAATCAAATTTTCTAAACATTAGTTTTTATTATATAATCTGTTTCTTAAAAAAAAAATCTCAAACTCAAAATTTCCAACTTAATCAACCATTATAAAAAAATTTTGTTTACGTTATGTGCCAGCGCAAATGAATCTTGTACTTGTCGTTTCTCAGTATATTGAGAAATAAGGTCCTTTCTGCAATTTTGGGCATCACATAAAGTCCTTTTTAATTGTATTTTTCGATGAAAATCTAATTTTATAGACATTATCATTGTTTAATCAGTTTTTCAAGAAAAATATTTATGATTTCAAACTTTGAAATCTATTTTAAAATTTTGTTTGTGCTGTGCATCGAGACAAATAACACAAGGAAAAATAAAAAATAAAATAGATTTTTTTTTCGTGAAATCCATTATGTTTTTCAAATTGAACTAGAATAAAATATTTACAAAACTATCCTATCTATAACGAACCATTTATTTGTAATTCCTGAACAAAGATTTCTCACAGTGATGCAATCGAACACATATCTCAGCTTTCGTGCCAGAAACGTCGCCAACGTTACCAAATAATAAAAATATTTTGAAGCCCCTCTTAATCCTTTCTTTCAGTTAGGCGGCAGATGAAGACGATTCTTCCCATTTTTTTCTGCTCAAAAAGTGCCATTGATAAATATTGAAGTGACCAATCAGAAAACTAATTCGTGCAGAGTGTGCCCATTTCGAGACTAGAATATTTTAACCATTCAAAGGTGAATTATTTCGATAGAGGCGTATAATTTTCGAAGTTTGCCCTTGACCACAAAGAGATAGCGTGCATAAGTCTGTGACAGGGCGGGAGTTTGAAAAAAAGTTATGCAGAACTCAGTCGAGGTATTTCCTTTTAGGTTTGACTCTCTGAGCATTTAAATAATTAGCGACAACCGCGGTAGAAAACATTTCAAAATTTATTGATCTCAAATTCTTCCATTTTTAATATTTCACCAAACATGAAGCTCTTCAAGAAATTAAAATAAATGCGAAAAACTTGCCATCAATATTAATTTTTGAATTGAAAAAGCTTAAAAAGGGACTATTTATTTTTAAATCTTATATTTTTAAGTGAATATTATTTTATTTTATTTTGGGTGGTTTTAAGAGCAAAATTTGCTACGAATTATACTCCTCCCCCTGTAGGAATAGAAACTCGATCTGTAGCAGCATAGTGTGTTACTTAACATTTCACATTTATTGGTCAAATTCCGCCACTTTCAATAATTTAATATTTTGCGGAACTTGAAACTTTTCAAGACATTAAAATAAGTGTGGATGATATTTGCAATTAGTATTAACTTTTACATTGGAATTGCCTATGAAATGTTTATTTTTTTATATCTTATATAAAAAAAATAATGTATAATTACGCGTTATATAATTAAGTTAATCTTATATAATTAAGTGTGAAGATTACTTAAATTTTATTTAGTGTAAAATAAAAGTGTAAATTTTGCCTCAATATACTCAGCATAGAAACTCGATCAATAGCGATGCTATGCATTAGATAACATTTCACATTTATTGGTCTAACTCTGCCACTTACAATTTTTTACGAAACTTGAAACTCTTCAGGACATTAAAATAAATGCGGATAACATGCGAATATTACAATAAAGTATGGTTTAATAATGTGTGATAAAATTTGATATATGTTATAAAAATAGGTAATTTTAACATGATATTTTAGAGCCTGGATGAAAACCATTTGTTTGGTTAAATTTATTTTTCAGTTTTGTATTTTTTACTGTGTGTGATAATTAGAACTAAATGTGTGATGATAAGAACTAAATGTGTGATGATAAGAACTAAATGTGTGATGATAAGAACTTAATTTTGAAAACCAGAATTTCCGGTAAATTGTTATCATGTGAACAAAAAAGTTACCATATGAATTGTTTAAATACAGTATATTTTTGTTTTGTTAACCAGAATTATGTTATTTTTTCTTATATTTTTCTTTAACTAGAAATGTTGTTATCATACAGTATGATATTTTTACCAGAATATTTTTTCCGGGTTCTATTTTGTACTTATGCTTATTTAAGAGATTTACATATCTACGGAATCTTATCTACACAGCTCAAAATACGATATTTTAAAATTATGTAAGAGATTGTATACCTTATGATTCAAATTTTTTTAAATTTAATTTCTACTGTAAAATAATAAAAAATAATAAATACTTACTAAAATTTATTTTTTACGAGGAATTGCCTTTGGATAAACTAATTTTATAACTGTGTGCAAAAATTTTCCTTTTCGCTTGAAAAGTTCTCAAGACATAGCGAAATACGCAAAAAGTAAAATTGACATAAAGGGTTCCAAATTTTCGATCGCCCTCCTGACCAAATTATTGGGACCATATTTCCCAGATTGCAGCTTGCTACTCCTTGTATTCTGGCAGGCAGAAATCCGAATCCGTTATGTTTATGCAGAGAAAACACATTTTGGTGTCTGATTTCGAAATTTCTAATTATTAAATGAATAATTATTTAGGTGTTCCATTTTTTCGTGTATTGTATTGTTTTCTGTGTAATAGAATGAGACTCAAACCAAGTCTGCAGAATAGTTAAATAGTTACGAATTTATGGGATCACAGATCCAAATTATAATTTTTTACTTGAAGTGCTTTTAAACATTTCTCCACAATTGTGAACAGTTTCATATTTTTTCATTGAATATAGCTTTAGTCGCGATGGAAATTTTGTGAAACTACGCTATTGTTAGTAATTTGTATTTTTAGTGGAACTGCGAGAAAAGTAATTATTTCACAAACTAAGAGAGATATAAATTTTTAAGATATTTATTTCAATCAGATAAAAGCATGATTTAAACCTTTTTATCTCTCGTGTTCGTCGTCTGACTAATAAATGTTGATTCGTGCTCTGAATTTGTGAAAAGATTATCTTCACATTATCACTTGCATAGGACCTCAAACAGTTATAATTAAATTTGCTTGAGAATTTAGTTTAGATACTTTTCTGACAATACTTATTATTATTCTAACAATACTTATTATTATTCTAACAATACTTATCATTATTCTAACAATACTTATTATTATTCTAACAATACTTATTATTATTATTACACATTTATTATTATACGGAAAAAGCTCTGGTAAAATTACCGTACTGTCAAATAAGGATATTTCTGGTAAAATAATACCATAACTGTGGTCAATGAAACCAATATGTATGGTAATTAAATCATTCTTTTTGGTATTTTTTCCGTTCATATTGTAACGGTTTTCCAGAAATTCTGGTTTTTAAAATTATATTTCGTATTACCAAGCATTTAGTAAAAAATATAAGACTTAAAAGTAAATTTAACTGAAAAAAGGGTTTTCATGCCATGCTCTAAGGTATCATGATGAAACTACCTCATTTAACTACATTTACAGATTTTATCACACATTATAAAACCATATTTTATGGTTAATTTAAAAAAAATCCTTAACAAAGCTCTTCGGTAAAAATGATCGATTTTGATCATAATGTATAAATACATTCAGACAAAAAATTAACTAAATTAAAAGTACGCATTTTGAGAAAAATTTGTAGTTTTCTGAACGAAACTAATTTCCTATTTGAAATCTTGAAATTTGATTCAG